GAACACACTGAGCTCAGACACAAACCACAGAGGCCAGAACAATGTAGCCACAGGTATTTGGACCAGAAGGGAGCAGCTGCCAGCAAGGCTAGTGCTGGGGGACTGGCCGTGAGAACGGCCTATGTTTGTCATTCCAGGTTCAACTGTGAGTCAAACACAATGCCTGTTACTTAGCGTTAGTAACGCTCCAAATGCCTCTGCCTTGGCGCCGAAGGGTTTTGTTAACCCTCCTCCCAGCACCGACAACAAAGCAGCCAACATTTACCGAGCTACTAGCCTCAACACAGCACTGTGCCTCCCGTGTTTTCTGTGGGCAGAGGACACACATAACTGATCTTTGCTGGACTTCAGCGGAAGCCTTAGGGTCATTCTGCTTGCCCACACACCACATGTAGGTCCCACTTTTCTGTAGGCTGGAGGATGGAGTGGTTCTGTCCCTCGGGGTGCTGCGTATATGGCCAATGAGCTCATTATAGAGTTATCTGGCCATAGGGTCCTGTCCTGCAATTTCAGCACCTCTGAGCTTCAGGTTTGTCATAATAACCCCAAGTGACAGAATGGCAGGAAAGCCACCTGGTTGGCACTTGCCCGGCTGAACTAAGCTTGGTCACCAGGTTTCTGGAACATTGAAGAGGAGAATAGAAAGCTAGTCCAGCCCTGGAAAGTGGACGTCTCAGGTCCCATCTCTGCTCCAGCTTAGACTCAAGAACCCCCCCCCTCAGGCCCACAGCCTTGTCCGCACGCCCCAGCACATCTACTCCTGACCCAACGCAGCCAGAATGGAAGGGGACGACGGGGGCTTCCACGCCACTGCAGGTGGACACCTGCCATTGCTATACACACGAACCGCCTTGTGAGGTGCAGAGAGCCATCTGTTTCCAAGAGAGAAGCAGCTGAAGCTTAGACAGAAGTCGCTTGCCCAGGGCTGTCAGTGGTCTGTAGCCGGGAGGGGACCCCACGCAGGCTGCCTCCCGAGGTGCTTCCTTCAAGAAGCCCACGGCCTGAAAAGCTGTTACTAAAGAATACGGAGGCTCCATTTCATACTTAAAA